TGTCAAAACGACTCTTTGTTCGTGAACGGCTCGTGTTCGGCTCGCCAAGCAAACGAGTCGAACACGAACACACTTTTTGAGCTCGAAATATAAACAAGGCGAATACGAGCTAAGCCTGGGCTCGCTCGTGTTCGGCTCGTTTACATCCCTAATTGAAAGTGCTCTTTGCTTTCCTTTAGAATCTATATATGATTTGTTGAGCTATTATTATTGCTGTAATCAGTTCATGCTTACAATTGACAATAAATGCTTGTTGATGGCACTATTTTACATCGTGCAATACATGCATAAGATCATTTAATGGACTGATTTTTATTAAGACTTGGTGATTTTCTACCGTGGCACAGGATATGGGTGTTGGTTATATGTTGTTCTTCAATTTTTCTTATTGGAATTTGATTTGAACTGTTTTTCCTTCAATACTCGGTATTCTCACTCCACCATCAATTCAATTTCTTTTTTTCTTGTCAATTACAGCAATAAAATTTTATGAATCTGGCATGTCACCATATCAAGTTGCTCTCATATGGGAGAAATTCTAATTTTTATTCCTTAACAAATTATCTTAAATAATTAAAAACATCTTAATTTTTAAGTTCCATTATCTTAACTAGTGCTTTTAAAAGCACATTTCAAAGTGCCCTTCACGTGCAAAGTAAAATGAATCATGTGCCCCCAGATTTGCTTTGCTGTTGCGCAATATTAGGGAGTGAAGCGTGTGTTTCATACCCTAAGCACGCTTTGAAGCTTCAAGGTAAAACCCTAAAAAGGTTCAATTTGGTATTTGAAGGATCGAAGAAGGAATGGTGTTCGAGAGTTCAAGGGAGTTGAGCATTGTCTTCGATTTCAATCTAGTTTGAAACACACCTCGAACGCTGCATTCTTCCTTCAACTTCGACTGCTGGAGGTGTCTGCTTCTTCGACCGCATGAGCGTCTGCTCCTTTCACTGAAGGAGGCGCCCACAAGATGCGCCTGCTTTGACAGCATGAGGCAACTGCTTCAACTGCAAGAGGTTTCTGCTTAGACCTTAAGAGGCAGTTGCTTCGGCCGCAAGAGGTAGACGCTTCGATCGCAGGAGTTTGAGAGGCTCTCCTTCAACAATCAACCAATGGATCTCATTGACCCTCATGGGGAGAGCTTCTGACCTTCAACATAGTCAGACACCAAGATTGGCACACAGAGTACGCTCGACCGATGCAAGCAGCCGAGAGTAACTTGTGATAATCTTTTAAGGAAGATTATATACATGCCACTCAATTCCTATTTATTTACATATCTAACACCTAAATTTAAATATAAATAAATATTAAAAGTTTAAGGAAACATATAGCCTGATCTTTAAATGGTAGATGAGCATATCTGTTGCATGCCCGACCTTCTGATTTCTTGCTAGTCCATTAAACAATGTACAAGGTAGGTTTTCATTCTTTCCCACCAATCTATTTTGCATCATGCTGCTTTGTGTCGATCATTTTTCCTCCATAGATTATTCAATTTTGAGAGTTCTCAAATTATTATTCTTTTCTTCTACTGTGATCCTTTATTTCAAATTGTTTGGGTTTTTTGGAAATTTACATACACACCACACAATCTTTATGCATTTACATATCTAACACTTAAAGTTTAATATTAACATTTTTGACACTTTCGTGTCATAACCTACACAATAATAGTTTTATGTGACCTATTACCGCTTTTGTGCCTAAAAGTATTGCTTCGCTCTGCGCATTACGCTTTGGAGTAAAAAAAAAAATTTTACGCATCGCATCGCTTTGCGCTTTGATAACAATAATCTTAACCTAAGAAAAATAGGTCTTTTAACCATTCTCTTCATACTCCTAAGACATACATCCATAAATATTACTTAAATATTTTACTCAAATCTCTTCATAAGATTTAACAAAAATAAATAAATATTTTCAAATAGAAATAAGTTCATTCATGACTTGATCGCTACACCTTCTGAACTAACTAATTGCTCCATTTTCTCTTTAAAATATCTTAACCTAAGAAAAATAGGTCTTATAACCATTCTCTTCATACTCCTAAGACATACATCCATAAATATTACTTAAATATTTTACTCAAATCTCTTCATAAGATTTAACAAAAATAAATAAATATTTTCAAATAGAAATAAGTCCATTCGTGACTTGATCGCTACACCTTCTGAACTAACTAACTGCTCCATTTTCTCTTTAAAATGTGTGCTTATCTATTCAGGAAAATGTTAATACTTCTATCACACTTCTACCATCTGTTTCATGGATGCCATTAAATAAAGATCTATTTTAAATTCATCCTTCTAGAGCCTATACACCTATTTATGTCGCCTCCAGAGTTCCGTATATTATTTCTTTTAAAATAGAAAAACAATAAAATTATAGCAAGGTTGAAAATGATAGAAATAAAGATGTCCTTACACTCATGTATATGGCACAATACGTGTGCAGTAAGGTGGAAAATTAAAAAAGAGAATATCAATGACATTAATATAAAATGTTTGCCCAGCACCGAGGTAAACTTATTATGCTATTGAAGTCAATTGTTGTTACAAACCCGCCTTAAATCAAGCAAAGTGTTAGCATCAATATACTTCATACACATGCTAGATCCAATGTTTAAAATTGCTTTTTTTCCACCCAAAATGCACCAGAAAAATTCTAATTTTCATTTATTCAGTTCCATTATAAGCATATGCATAGAAAGACGCATGAATGAATACATGCTTACATGTTTTTTTGATAGAAAATCCAATAAATAAGGGGTTTATTTCAATTTTGCAACCTAATCTAAAGAAAAACAAATGTTATAGGATATCACACCATAAAAGTTCGTATTTCACTACAAACAAAACAATATAGCTAGCATGTTATGCTAAGTAAACGAACATGTTTGAGTACTGATTCAAATAGTATCAAAATAACAATAATTTTATTAATGATTATTAATGTGCAAATCAGTGATAATTCCAACATCAGTCTTCATAGCAAATTGACAAAGTATTCAAATGGCTTAAAATTTTCATTTTACACCCACTTTCTATGGGGTACTTGGATGCAAACCTTCTGTATTAGATTACTATATAACCAATTTAAGTTATTACTACAATCTTTGCTTAGATTAGATTCCTTATTTCATAATGAATTCAGTATCAAATATAAATAGACAAAACTAACAAATAATCATAGATCCAATGAATGTTGCAGCCTTACAATGCAACCAATCTTCAGATAAATATGATCTCATGCACCAAAAGTTCATGTTTAACCATGACTTGAAGCTAAAAGATGCATCCTAAATATAATAAATAAACACATAAAATCATACCTGCTTTATTAAGGCCAGGTCCAAGAAGGCGGGGAATTTGCTTGATTATAGCCTCAGAGGCCAAGAAAGCATGATACTTCTTTGCAAGCTTTTTCACAAGCTTCTTATTCTTATTCATTTTCTTGAGAGCTTCAACATCCATCCAATCCAGCCCTATCTTCTCAGCCTGTGGATCAGATATCAATGTTCTCAGACTAAACCATGATTATACAATTGTCGTGGCAAACAATGCTGACATGTAGTGAAACGCATACACAACATTAAAAAATTAATTTCCAACAAAAATATCTATCCATGAAAACAATGATAAAGAAAAGCACAAATTAAGCTGCTTTTATATACAAAGCAAACATTCCTTGAAATACACTTAAAGCTAGTGATTACCTCTTCAACATGCTGGGCATCACCAAGCATGCAAACCTTCATCTTTGGACGAGGAATGTGTGGAAGCTTCACAGAACCACTAAAGCGCTTGTCCTTTTGGGGATCATAGTTCTTCAGTCCAATTTGCAGCTCAATGGTCTCCGTGAAGTTGCGCTTCTTCTCACGAGTTTCGTTGAGAAGCTGGGAGATGGCTTCCCTCAAAACATCACTTTGCAACTTACTGCAGAAATCAAATTGAAATAACTTAGTGAAATGGAGGGATGAAAACTAGATTAAAACAAATAAAAAAAGTTTGGTTAAAAAAATGAAAATGCCAAAGGGGAACTTAGTAATCAAATTTCATCATTTTAGATGGACGTTATTAGTGCATTGGATACTAATATAATCGGGTAATCAGTAGATCCAACAAACTAGACAAAAATATGAACAACTTTGCAAAATCAGGAGATGAAGTCTTCATAAAAAACAAGCCAGAAGCTCCAAATATTTACAAGAACTGGGCACTTGTACACAGAGGTCTTCCGCAACCTTACACACATCATCCAACAAAAAGTCGCATTTCTAATCTATGCAAATAAGTATACAGGGATACAAGCAAGCTCTAAAAACTTCTATGTACACGGCATCTCAATAAATATACAATTAAAACTATGAAACGAAGAAATTGCCAAAAAAAATAAACAAGGAAAGCAATCAATACCTCATTTTTTCCAAGCGGCTCTCTGCGCCGACTCTTCAGCTAACCCTATCGCAACAAAAAATAATAATCAGCGAAACCGGACGAGCAAGACTTATTGGTTTCATGGGCAATTAAAACAAGGCAAGTATAAACTAGTCAGATGCGATCGAAAGAGTTCTATCAATCACCGTCAATCAAAGAATTCCTCAGAATGAGAGATTGAGAGGGTTTGAGAGGGGTGAAAAGCACACTCACCAGATCTATGTAGGCAAGTGGGATTAAAAACATCACATTTCCAAGAACCCTAGTTGGTTGTAATCCACAAAACAATCGCAAGAAAGTAAACAAAAAAAAATAAGGAAACAGTTCGTAAAGAACCTCGCAGTGTGATCGCTGGCTTCTTCGGAGCCTCGCCCGCCTCGCGGAAAAAAAATTGGGCGGCTCCAGAGTTAGGGTTTATTTGTATGTATGGTTAGTAGTTACTTATTTTTAATAGAATAAAACTTAGGATGATTGATTTGATCAAATGGCTGAGATTAATTTCAAATATTTTTAAAATAAAAAAATTAACTTAAATGCTTTAATATATTTTTAATTATATATATTTTTTTTCAATTAAATTTTAATTTTATTAATATATAAAATTATTTTTTTATAGCCTTATTGAACATATTTAGCCAGAGAGTGAAAATGAAGCCCCATAAAGGCAAAAGAAGTAAGCCCTGGAAGAATCCAAAAATGCAAAGCGAATCACCTTTCCTTATATAGGGCAAAAAGAAGTGAAACGGATCCTATTTTTGCCAAGCAAATCGTAAATACGATCTGATATGGTGTTCTTGCTTCAGGTCCGGTCTTTGGATTAGTTATGGCAATGTTTTTCTTTTTTTTTTTCTCTTAGGTTACAAATTAGTAGTTCGTGATTAGTGATTAGAATGTGCTTTAAACTTGGGCCTCTTAGTTGAAGAGAAAGCTCTTTATAACCTCCCTCAATAAAAATTTGGGGCATTTACATACTATTGTGTAAAAAAATGGTGGTAATAAAGCGAAAATTGGAACGAGAATTCACAAAACATAAACACAGTGGAACATACAAAATTTACGTGGTTCAGCAAATTGACTATGCCCACAAAGTTGCGAAAGATTTTATTAGCTTGAGGATTACATCTGTCGATCGTCTCAACGTTTACAAGAATAACTCTCTCATTCTTATCTCTTTCTCTACCTCTACCCGAGAGCCGCATGAAGAAGACAACACCAATACGAAAGAGGAGCAGAAGAAGTTGTGATTCCTTGATCTTCCTCCCTGGTTCAGTTCAGCACAGTAACAGGAAGCCCGACTTCCTATCCCAGCAGCGAGCAGAAGGCCCAAAAAGGGGGAACTCCTTCGGTCTTCAATGCACTAGTTAGCCGAAGGAGAGATTTAAGGAAGGTTATTTTCTTACCAATCATTTTCTGCTTCTACTCTTTTTAATGCCTTCTGAGATGCGGCCCGTTTAGAAAGTAGAATATCAAGGTGGCAGGAGAATCAACAGGAGGCGGGAGAATAACAATAACAAAGAAATAAATAATTAAATTAAATATGCAAAGTTGTCCAAGCAATGTGTAGTGCAACGGGCACCACATATCTCAACAATTCTCTCACTTTGAGACTGTGACACATATTGCACCATCCACTTGCAGCACCGTCCTCTTTCATCAAACGTGACATCTTCTACTTCTGCAATTCAAAGCCCTTGCTGACATGTTGCATGTTACAATTCAACAACTTCAAATAACTTTGCCACAATTCCAACAGGTTGCATGTTGACCAGACTTTAATTTTGTTCATCCTCAGTTTTAGTTTTTGTCTTGTGATCTCCCTCTTTAATCAACATTCAGAGCTGAACTCGAACCCGAGGTTTCGTAAGAATCATTCCTGCGTACCTCCACATACATTACAAGTGTAGTGTAGACAGTTAGAAGTTCAACTGAAGTTACTCATAATTTCAGTTTCTCAAGAGTAACACCCTTAGTCAACAGAACCTTGTATCTCCAAGCTCTTTCCTTGGTTACTCATGTATTTGCTTACAACTCCCACTGCACGAGCAATATTTTGTCTTTACTGAAAGCATTTTACAACAAGTCTCGAATTCTACCTCTTACTATCATCATGCTTAGTTTTCACCTGATACACCCACTTGTTGTGTAATGTCTCATTCCCAAGTGGAAGTTCTGTCAGCTCATAAGTTTGATTTCCTGACAAGGAATCCATCTTCCCCTTCATGGTCAGCTCACAGCTTGCTCGAATTTTCATATTGCAAGGTTTTTTCATAGCTATGTGGTTCTCCACCATCAGTTAACGGAATGTAGTTCAAGGTTTGGTGAGTAACACTATGGGTAACATCTATTTTTGACTGACCAACAAACTTTAGTTATAAGGTTGGACGAGTCTGAAGCTAACTGCGGAATAATAGGAATGGATGCCCCGGACCCACTATCCTCATCACTTACATCACTGTCCTGCACTATTATCTCTGGTAGATCATCAAACCTTACCAACTCAGATTCCTGAGGGGCCACTTCAGAAATTGTATTGTATTTGTTCTTGTACATGATCTTCTCGTTAAAAATCACATTCTTATTTCTTATGATCTTCCGAATCCCAAAAATGATAATCAAATGTCTCATCTCCATATCCAATGAAATAACATTTCTTCGACTTATCCTCGAGCTTGCTACGAGAATCAGGATTAATAAGAACATAAGAGAGACAACCAAAAGTCTTGAGTTGAGAAAACTTGACACCTTTCCCACTCCAGACCTTCTCAGGAAACTTACAGTCTAATGGAACATATAACCTCTTGTTAATCAAATAAACTGTAGTGCTGACCGCTTCTGACCAGAAGGTTGGTGGTAGTCAGACATGCAATCTCATGCTTCTGTCACGCTCATTGATGATCTTGTTCATGAGCTCTGCAACACCATTTTGTTGCGGTGTCCCTAAAATGGTCCTCTCCATTCTGGTACCCTCAGTTGTGCAATACTTCTTGAACCCACCATCAATATACTCACCAACATTATCATACCTCAAACATTTCAGTTTAAAGCCTGCCTTTGTCTCAACCATGGATTTTCAAGTTTTAAACACATTAAATACATCTGATTTATACTTTAATAAATAAACACAAACCTTCTTGTTGTGATCGTTAATAAATGTGGCATATTAACGAGAGCTTCCAATAGATGTCATCGGGGAAGGTTCCCACACAGTAGTGTTTACAAGTTTCAGTTTTCCTGCCTATAGGCTTTGCCACCATTCAAGAAACTCACATTCTTCTGCCTCCCCATAATGCAATTCTCACACATGTTGGGATCAACTGACTTCAGCGCCTGTAGCTTGATTCTGGATTGAAGTTCTTTCATGTCCCTCTGACTCATGTTACCAAGCCCGTAATGCCACATATATGTCGTGCTCTCTGCAACTGTAGCAGCAAAAGTGTTGAGTAAATCCGTAGTCATATATATTGTGTCAGTTTTCTTACCCCAAGTCAGTATTAATGCTCATTCGGTAACCTTCCAGTGCTATTTGAGAATACTACTGAATTACAACCCTCATCAAGCTGCCCAACAGAAATGAGGTTTTTCTTCAACTCAGGAATGTGTTTCTTTTGCAAAAAGTCTATTTGATCTTTTTAGGGAGTGTGATATCAACGTCTCCCATCCCCACTACGGCTAGAGCTTCTTCATCAGCCAGATATATCTTCCCAAAGTCACCAGCAATATAGTTTCACATTAGCTCTCGGTGGGAAGATGTATAGAAATAAGCCCCTGGTTCCAATATTCAGTCACCAACAAAACTGTGAACTACCAGCAATCGTGTATCTTGTACTTCTTCAGTTACAATATTAGCACTATCATTCTCCGTCTTTTTCAAATTTTTACAGTTTCTTTTTTATGCGACCAACTTTGCCACAATTCCAACAGGTTGCATGTTGACCAGACTTTAATTTTGATCACCCTCTGTTTGAGTTATTGTCTTATGATCTCCCTTTGAAATCAACATTTAGAGCTAAACTCGAACCCGAGGTTTCGTGAGAATCTTTCCTGCGTATCTCCTCAGCCAAAATCAAATCAATAATATCATCATATTTCAGCTTAAATTTACCTGTAGAATTGTTAAATGTCTTCTTCATGGCTTCCCAGCTATTTGACAATGAAACCAATAATATCAACACGCGTATCTTATTGTCAAAATCAATTTCAACATACTACAGTTGATTTATGATGATATTGAAATCATTTATATGTTGAGCGACGGACACACCTTCTGTCATCTTTCAAGTTGAATAACTTTTTCATCAAGTGCATCTTATTATTCACCGATGACTTTTTATTCACTGATGACTTTTCATACATACCTGATAATGCTGTCATGAGATCTATAATAGTTTTTTTTCTTGATGACATTATGGGATATAAATCTCGACAGGGTTAATCGAACAACCCCCATAACTTGTCGATCTAACAAATTTCAATTAGCTTTATCTATCTTCTTCGGTCGCTTTCCCAGTAATAGAAGATAAAGTTTCTTCCCATAGAGATAGTTCTCTATCCGCATCATCTAGTAACCAAAATCTGTGTCAAATTTATTGATCCCTGATACCATCACTTCATCTCCAGCCATCGCTTTTCCTCAGATATGAATCATGATTCTGATACCAATTGTTGTGAAAAAAATGACTGTAATAAAGAGAAAATTGGAATGATAAATTCACAAAATAGAAACACAAATGAACACACAGATTTATGTGGTTCTGCCAATTACCTACGTTCACGTAGCTGCAGAGGATTTAATTAGCTTGAGGATTACACAATTCGACCGTCTCAACATTTACAAGAATAACACTCTCCCTTCCTCTCTCTCTCTCTCTACGTCTATGTATCTGAGAGCCTCTTGAAGAAGAGAACACCAAAACGAAAGAGGAGTAGAAGAAGTTGTGATTCTTTCATTGATCTTGTTCCCTGGTTCATTTTAGCGCAGCAATAGGAAGCCCGACTTCCTATCTAGAGCCCTCGACAGCGAGCAGAAAGCCCAAATAGGGGAGCTCCTGCGGTCTTCAATGCAGCAGTCAGTCGAAGGAGAGATTTAAGAAAGACTATTTTCTTACAAAGCCGTTTTCTGCTTTTGCCTTTTTTAGTGCCTTCCACGATGTGGCCTATTTAGGAAGTAGAATATGAAGGTGGAGGGAGAATCAACAGGAGGCGAGAGAATAATAATAACAATAAAATAAATAATTGAATTAAATGCAAATTCAATTCTATTCCTAATATGCAAAATTACCCAAGAAATGTGTAGTGGACCAGGCTCCACATATCTCAACGCATTCATGCCGCCCAATGCCTATATCTTTATATATCTAACACTTAACTTTGCTTTTTTATATTTATACCACACATATCATTCTTCTAAAAACTATCACTATTTTAACTTTAAAAATATAAAATACACATTTTCCTACATAACATGTAAAAATGGAAGTTTAGGAGTTTGATAAGCAAATACATTAAGAATTGAGCGGCATCCATGCACAAATAATTATAAGAAATAAACTTATCACTAATTAAATAGAATTTATCCATTAATAGATCTCTTATCAAATTTTCAAATAATATAAACCTCATTGTGAATACAATGATAATAATCCATTTCATATAACTGTCTAGAACAACTGTAGCTTATTAATAAGTTGCATATAAAGTGTTAAAAAACAATCAACCGTTCAAAAAGCTGTGGTGACTATTACAATTTTTTTTTAGAAAAACCAGACTGCAAATAGAAAGCTGTCACTGCAACTAACCAGGAACAATGTAAAAATACTGATTTCAGCTGTTTGAAAACAGAGTTTGAATAAACTATCAAAACGCAGTTTACCCAAATGATAGTGGGCACCAAATGAGTCACCCCAAACGGGGGCTTAATGTTCATTCATATGCATACCATATAATTCTTATTGATTTATATAACTAATATCTAAACTTCAATATTTGTATACATAGCATTTAAATCATTAACATTACATTAATAAAATAACTGTTACATTCACTTTTTAAAAGAGAAACACATATTTTTACGCACCGGATAAATGTTAAATTTAAGGCGTTAAATATGTAAATACATAAGAAACATGTGACATGTATATAAATTTTATATCATTTAACTATATATAAAATATTCTTCATAAAATTTTGTATCCCCTTATGAGCTATCGTTATTCATGCAATAATTACATTTTAAAAAAAAATAATTAGACCGAATAATAGAAAAAGTATTATATTTGCAAATGTTTTATTATTATTATTATTATCATTTTTGCTTAACAATACTAATGTTCTGTCTCAAATTGGAGAATGCATACAGTGTCTGATCTCCACCGTCCATCAATTTTTTTTTAAAAAAATAATTAAAAATGAGACCCACTTAAATACATCTTTATTCTAATGAATGATGAAAATCGGATATTGTATGCATTTCTGCATGGGGTGTCCGTATGGAATAAGTTTTCCTCAAATTGAGAGCTTATGTGATTCGAACATGAGGAAGTATTCTTAAAAAAAATTATGATTTACAAAAACCAAAAGCAATACTAATAATATTAAAGAGCATTTACAAACATACCAGCCAATTCTTAAAATATTTACATATCTAACTCATAAATTTTATTTTTAACATTTAGACCGCCGAAATATTTTATATCACATAAAAATATCACTATTTTAATTAAAAAAAAAAAGTAAAATACAACTTTACCTGCGTAGATAAGGTGGCATATTTATAAAAATTGAAATATAGTTGTTAGATATGTAAATAAATTTAAATATAACTCTAACATTTTATTATATATGCTAATTATAAAAAAAATAATTATAAATTTATGAGAAATGAAACCTTTTTTTTCCCCTACAAATTCACATATCGTGTATGAGAAATAGAATTAAATATTTAAAAAAAAAAATTAAGGGGCTCCTTCTTAACAATAGAAATATATTTTATACCTGTGAATTAATTGATAAAAGCGCATGACAATTATGTAATTTAAACTTAGGGGCATTTACATACATACCACCCATTTTTTATGTATTTACATATATCACATCTGAACTGTTTTTTACATTAATACCACCCAAATCCTTCACATAAATATATGCTGAATTCTTTTTAAAAAAGGGACTATTTATAAACATACCAACCAATTTCTGTCAATTTAGTTAACTCCTAAATTTAACTTTTTACATTAATACAATCCGAATCTTTAAAATCACATAAAAATGTCCTCATTTTAAATTTTAAAAAGTTATATATATATATATATATATATAATATTCCAAATTAAAAAATTTGGAGTTTAAATATGGCCAAAAGACAATGTTCACGATATCAATAAACAAACTCATTATGCAGCACGTGTTCAAATTATTCATTAAGTAAGTCGAACACAAATAAATTTTTTAAGCTCAAATTATAAATGCCCCAAACACGAATTATTTATTTGATCATGTTCAACTCGTTTTAGCTCGAAATAAGGAAATGAGATATATTATTTATAGAATAATATATTATATATATGGATATCTAAGTTTAGAACACTTTATCAAGTGGTCATGTGATTCTTTGTTTTTTTATTGCATTGAAAATGTGCAGGTTTGAATCCAAAACCCAACAAATATTATTTCTAATTAATTTAAATAAGTCAATTTCAAGTTGAGCACGAACAAGAAAATGTAAAAAGAAGCCAAACAAAAACACGTTGTTCACGAATAATTTCAAACGAGTCAATTTCAAACTTATATAACTCCCAACGAGCCCAACACGAGCCAAGCCTCAACTTGCTCAAGCCCTGCAAATAAACTAATCAAGTTACACATATAAATGTGGAACCCACTGCCTAATGCACCAATCTACAGTTCCACACTTAATTTTAAACAGATTTAAACATTTATTATGAATCGACATATGTTCATTTTTAAGAATGTTTAGTCTTTTTTTTTAACAAGGATAAATTATGCAGATTAAATTCCAAATTATAAACACATAATTTACAGCAATAATAGGTCTATTAAACCTTAATTAAGACGATGAACTTTACTTTTCAATTAATTTATTTATTTTGGGTTTTCAAATTATAAATTTATAATTTTTTTTTTCTGAGTATGTTTTAATTATACAGAAATATGAAAATTTTGATTATATGCATTGAAATCAGTGGCCCAGTGTTTGGGGGTTTGATTTCCCACAAGGGTGGCAAGGGTTCAATACACAAGTTAACCCTATATGTCAAAATATATAT